CTCACGTCATCTTTATCACAATAAACAACAACTTGAGTACACGATGAACTGTTTTTAACCTTTAGTTCAGGATGGAAAAAGCATCTTTTGGCTGTGTGGTGGGTGCAGTTTGTGTGTGTATGTGTGTATATGTGTGAGGGGGATGTGGTCCACCCAGGTGGGGGAACAATGGCGTGCCCGTTTTCTTGAAAGGAATGGTTGGCTGCGCATAGTCTCAAGAAAGGAGGGAGGGGAAAAAAGAAAAAAAATGAGTTGTGAAATGATTGGTAGTGAGACGGTGGGAGACGGGGGGATGATGGGGGAGCAGCCGGCTGAATGGGGGCAGCAGGGTGGCAACTGGACCCTTAAAGCTCCTTTCATGCTTGGTCTGTTTCAGCCAACGCGGAAAACACATACGAGGACACTGAGATTCAGCCTGTTGCTAAACGTTTTTCCTTTATTTTTTAAGAACCTTTGAATTTTCAAAAACAAAGAACATGGTTCCCCAGTTTTTTCTTTATGCATGTGCAACTTTTACGTTACTTGAACCCCCAAATTGATGTTTTTCTACTTAAGTCTGTTCTTGTGTGGCCTCAACTGATATCAATGCACACAATGAATTTGCTTTAAGACAATAATGTTTTTGTCTTCTTTGAATTTTTTTTGTGTTTTGTAAAGTTTCTGTGTTGTTTAGTGGTAGATTGGTAGATTCATTGGTAATTTCCATACATTAAGAGTGCCCTATCTGTTTAGCATTGGACCTCTATGACAACAGGCTCACAATGGTCACTGCATTTCTGCTTTCCACTGGTTCATACCTCTAATCCACTGCATTTCAAATGTTAATATTGTTCTTTTTATTCCACCAAGTTTATCTCAAAACTTGGAACCAAACCATTAAAAATCATTTTTTAGGATAAAATATGTCTTTCATGTGACCAACCCACCACTATCTTTTGTCTGCAAAAAAACTATAGAAAAATAACGCATGCCTAAGACTTGGGTGTTGATAGTTAGGATTATACTGCAAGAAATCTATGATTAAAGAGGCAGCAGTCTCTGTTCTGCACTTCTACACGAAAGCCCTGCAGAAAAATGTAGAAATTCAAAAGCCAAGTTTAAGCACGGGCAGTTGAGATAAGAAACGTTGGTAAATTAGTCAACGCCAACTGACGGTGTAAAAGGGAAAAGAAGAGGAGGGGAAATATCCTTCACCATCTTGCATAACAACCTCAAACCAGAAAAGAGTCTTTTTCATGCCGTCTTGTTTCTCTTTGTCACTCTGCGAGCGGGGCCCTCTCTGACAGCAGCCAAGTCCAACATGGCTGAAAAAGCTCTTGGCTCTCTGAATCAACAGCCCAGTGTCAAACTGGCTAGCCTTCTCATGCCTGCATTCCCCCAACGATGTCTAGGGAACTGGTTTTCTGGCCAAGAAGTGGTTTTGTGGCTAGAGTCAGCCAGGCAGAAGGAGGATGAAAATGATGCCATGTGGACAAGAAGCCTTTTCTTCTTTGTTCCCTTAACATGGCAGACTGGTTCCAGGTTGGCAGGGAGGACAGTCAGTCATCTGCCAAACACAATGCACTTACGTAGAATTGAATTAGGTTTAAGGGTCAGTATTACAATTAGATTCAAGTAAGAGAGAACACATTCACAGTGAAATGCCAATTTTATGTTGGATAGTTTGTCTTTGAACCTTTCAATAATAAAATGGTTCTATCTCCCACTAACCCCAGAGAGCATGAATTTTAATTGATGTGCTTGTCTTTGTTTTTCAGTGTGGGCCAAGGTGGAGGTGACTATGCAGGAGAGTGTTGAGGTTTACCTGGATGACTCGGCGCAGATCCCCTGCCACTACAGCTTCACCGACAACAACGAGCCCAGCTTTGTCATGATCCAGTGGTTTGTGGTGAGTACTGCTGGACCTGCTGTGAAAGCTGACACTGCCAGTCAGGAACTAACAGACCGCGCACATGTAAGGAGAAGGGCTTTGTACATGAGGTTAGTCATTTGAATGATGGTCAGGGAGCCAAGAGCCCAGTTCAGAGTTGTAGTTTCAACTTGTTGTGATCCCTTCATTATTGTTACGAGATGAATTCAGGATACATTTTAAAAGTATGAATAGTCATTTTAGAAAAGAATATGAGCTAAATGCTCGCCAATAAGTACTAAAACTTTAATCTTGCAGAGTATTAGAAAATAACATGAACACGCTCTTTTTTTAAGGTTAAATGGTTATAAGATATAGTCAAGTCAAGTTCAAGTTAAGCTTTCTTTATTGTCATTTCAACCATATACACGAGATGAAATGTGTTCTTCCACGATCGTGATACTATGTAAGACATTTGAGAATTAAGAGGTATACACATCAAGCTAAATGTAAAGCAAGAGAAACAGATAAAAAGGTCACATATTTTCCTCCTTTTCAACAACTTTAAATACGTATAAAAGGTCCCCAAAACATATCTGTGAAGTTTCTTGTTCTAAATCCACTCTGATCCTGTATGTGATCATGTCTATAAACCCCTCTATTTCAGCCCTGTTCAGAACAGGCTGTTTCTGTGTCTGTAGCTTTAAATGCAAATGAGCGGTGTCTGACCACGCCCCCTCTCTGGAAGTGGATGTTGCTTGGGACTTCTTGCACCATGCCCTATTGTTTAAGATAATCTCCGAAAGGCCTGTTTGAGCACACTTTTTCTGAAAAGTGGGGAAAGTGAAACACATAGAGGATGAACTTCTCTCATAATTGGGGGGTGGACATGTTAGACAGGTTACTGACCCATATTAGTGTTAGAAAACCATTAAACTGTCAGAGGTAGTGTATAAAACAGAACAGCATTGGCTTAAAATGAATATACCATCTACCCATTGTCTATAATGCTTCTCCTGTTCAGGGTGAGGGTGGGCTGGAGCTGATCCCAATGTCAGTGGGCAAGGGTACATGTTGCAAGTAAACAGCGGGGTGATGAATGTAGAGTACAACCCAACTCACTCACATGGAGACACTCATGAGCAATTTAGAGGAAAGTGGGACATGGGACTGTGGGAGGAAGCCAGAGCACGAGGAAGGAACCTCGAGAAAATGCAAACTTCAAACAGAAAGGTGCCTGTCAGGCCATCAATTCATCCCCAATATACAAATATTATTTAAAAAATGTACCCAGAATAAAGTCACAGACAATATTAAACACAAAAGTGGCCAGTTGACGAAACACTAGCTGGTAGATATTGTGTTTTTTCAGTCGACCATATGTTTTCCTTATATACTGTATGTGTTACAGTGCCAGGGTTTCCAGCAGCATATTCCAATGGAGGAGTAATAAGTTCCTCGAATGACTTCATAAGGAGTTATACTTTTATGAAATATTATATTACGCTTTAGGGAAAGCAAGCAGAGGCATTACATCATGCAGCTGCTGCCACGTATTTAAAGAGTGAGTCGCTTATTTCAACAGTCAATCTAGACACCGCTGTAATGGCTCAGTTAAACAAGACCAAGACCCAAAAGCTCCAGTTTCAGACTCAGAAGATGGAGTGAAAAAGGTTTCTTGGTAAGAGGAGGCAGTCAAAAGTTGGTCAAAGGAAAGCATCTGGCAAAGAAATCAAAATGAGTCAAAACTAGCAGGTAAAAGTTCAAGGGTCAAATCGAGGCAGGTTTAAAAGAAGGATGACTAGAAAGCTTTGGGAAGGAGGGTTTAATAGGTAGGTTGAAATGAGCAGAAGGACTGTAAGGCGTGGGAATCTGGTAAATCAATAAATAGCTGTCTAACACCATGACAACTGTGCTGACAATGAAAAATTGTATGAAGATCAGTCTTATTTAGCTCAGCATAAGAACGGGATAGATGGAAAGCACTGGTACTTTGTCTGGCTGGAGTTATTTAGAGCAGCATGTCTGTGGAAAAAAAAAAAAACTTCTGAGATTTTACAAGTTGGTAAAATAAGACAAATGGCCCACTCAGTCACAGCCATGTTGGGATGAGGGAGGAAAGACTCAGCGCTGCTCAGCCCGTCAGACTCAAAGCTGATGTTGGCTCCTTCATTTCCTGCTTCACTCACATTTTATCCATCATTCCATCATAAGCAAGTAACAAAAGTTTTTACTGATTCTTGTGATACAAAGTATCAGAGTTGATCAAAAAGTAAATTATTTCTTGATTTATTTATTTTTGTTCTGCAGAGAGCTAAAACAAGCAGCTCACGGGTTCGGATTTTCTACCTCGGTGGCAATGAGCGGATGGCGGACAACGACACTGAGTACACCGGTCGCATCAACGTGACTTCAGACCAGCACGGGACTCGACTCACCATCCTAAACGTCCAGCTCTCAGATCAGAGGGAGTTCTTCTGCCAAGTTAACGGTATGGCTGCCGGGAACGCTGAGGGCAAGACCCACCTCAGAGTGTTTGGTAAGTAAGCCCCCCAAAAAAATCACAAAAAAGGTCAAGTCTTGATAATGTTAATAAAATTTGTCTTTAATGTTATTGTAAATGACTGAAGTGTTTATTTTCCTGGTCCAGCTCCTCCAGAGCCTCCAGTGATGGAGGGGGTCCTGACTGGAATATCTGTGACCAATGAGGTGCCTTCAAAGGTGGGTTCACTTCAAATCGTTCACAGACATCATGAAATACTGTTAACGGTTGGATTACCATGTTAAGAACAATTCAGTTGCAGACTTTTCCCTTTTACTTACAGCTGCACTGACAACATTTAAAAATCTAAAAGCCAATGTCACTGTCCCTCCAGATTGCATCATGCGAGGCTCAGAACGGTTTCCCTAAACCCAACATCACCTGGTACAGGAACAACATTCCACTGATACCTGAAGCAGGACGTAAGTGTAAACAGTAGTCTTTGTTTCTGTCTCTCTTTGTAATCCTGTAGGATCATGTGAGGAAGATATCACCCCTATAAGTTTCATTTGGCAGATAACTTTGTCCAAAGTTCATTACATAATTTCTGCTTTGTAAGTTACACTCCTAAATTGCTTTGCTGTTTTGTGGCCCTGAAGTGTGAGTATATCCTGATGAGTGATGTCCATTGTGCCTTAACACTATCCCCCTCTCCATTTCTCCAGATGTAAACGTGTTGATCCTTTTCCAAGAGTTGTCCGGCTTCTACTCCCTCCAGAGCATACTGGAGTACAAGGTGGCTAAAGAGGACAAAGACGCACATTTCTCCTGTGAGGTCAGCTTCTTTGTCCCTGGAGCCATCAGGACAGTGGAGTCCAGCAGCATTAACATCACTGTTCACTGTGAGTAGCACTGAATTTGACTTCTGTCCAATAAGCCCGGCTGTTAGAGCAATCTGATGAACCACTGACAATAGCTGAAGTAGGTATCACAAATGTCTGAGGCACTTGGCAACTCGCTCCCTCTGCTTTGAGGCCAAATGGATCAGATACAGGTCAAGTTTATGATTCAGCTTTAATCCTCCTTTGTTATGCTTTTCCGTTTCTGCTTGATGTTAACAATAAGATTCCAGAGCCCTGGAGGCAAAAACATTTTTACCTTGGTTCAAGACACACACATTTCCTGACGGGTTTTTTTTTTTTAACAACAAAAAAACAAAAACAAACCCTTTCCCCTTCACCATGAAATGAGCTTCATTGTGCAAGTTTGTGGTGATAATGTGGCTGTCTAAAACCTACACAGTTTGTGCTGTCAGCATTATGGAAATGGTCTTTCAAAATGACTTTAGCAGCACGCTGAATGAGCCTGCCTAATTCGATTTTGTGTGTGTGTGTTTCCAGACCCCACCACCATGGTGGAGCTGTGGAAGGACTTGCCCAAGGGCCTGGTCAAAGAGGGGGATACTGTCGAGCTGCGTTGCCAGGGTGATGGCAACCCCCCGTCGCCCTTCATTTTCAACAGAGAACAAGTAAGAATGGACGGCTCTTTCTGGCGCTGAAAGTCCCCAATAGAGAAAGGGTGACACACGGGAGACATGTAGGGAATGTTTTTGATATGCAGAGCTCACAGGGCCCCATGTAGACATGAGTGTGCACACTCTGAGAAGGCTCTGTCAGCTCTGACCCTGCAGATCCAGACTGGGGTCTGAGACCGGAGGCCACATTGACAGGGCTCATGGGTAGGACTCATTCCCATGTCAGACACTCATCCATTGTATGTGTGGACAATGCAAAAACCCAGCTGACTGCCATTTTAACTTCTGCTAACTAGACAGTCACAGGCATTTCTAAAGAGGCTGTCAAACCAGGACTTAGGAGCCGAATTGTGCTGTGAAAGACTTAATTTATTTCATACAACTCCAACTTACGTTTACACTTAAGGCCATCATCAAATCATAACTTGTTTTAACTTTAAAGTGTGTTTGATACTATCGTTAAACAGCTAGGTTTGAGTAAGTTTTGCCTCCATCTCAGCACTTGTGTTTCTCATCCTAACAGATTCCAGTGTAAAATTGTTTATGCCTTTGTAGCTCAAGATTTCAGGATAGAAAGTGGTCCTTAAAATGTTGCATGAAATTATTGTAAGACATCTTTCATAGCCAAAATTATCCCCTGACTCTGACAGAAAGTCTCAGATGTCACCAGCTTTAATTAGCAAAGCGATGAATATGTGTGTGTTTGGAAAAATCTGTCAACCAAAGAAGGATTCTTTGGCCCATTTTTAATCTCTCTCCCAGAGGATTACATGATTCACCAGTGGGCAGGTTTTGATTAATCACCTGTTTTCTACCCACAAAGTCTATTTCTACCCAGAGAGAGACTATTCTTAGCTCTGCGACTGCCCCCATAGGACTCTTTATTGTGACAAATTTACTTTTCTCTTAGAAATACAGCCTGCCTTAAACCTCACCTGTTATAAGTTCTGTTTTTACTTTCACATGATCACAACTTGGATTAAAATAACTAACGAGAGTTGTTGTTGCAGGAGCCGGATTTGGGCCTGGAGAGCAGCGGTGATGTGTTGATCCCTGTCACCAGTGACACGGGTCGACAGCGGCATCTACCAGTGTCGCCCTCTGGACGCAGACATTTACTCGGACGTCAAAGGAGAGATGCAGCTGACTGTGCACTGTGAGGAGCCATCACACACACACACAATCATATACACAAACACACATGAGCATAAAATGGCATATGTTAAAAAACAGACATGAAGATAGAAACAACAACAGAGATTCAACATGTTATTTAGTTGACTTTGAGGTGTTTTTTGATGTATTTTCACTTTGGACGGAGGCTAGATGATTTCTCTTGCCTCTCATCTTTGTGCTGGACTATACAAATCACTTCTCGATTCCATTGAAACAACTCATTTAAGATGCATACTAACCATTTTATCTGAGTTTTAGAATGAACGATTGAACTATTTCAAAGCAACCTTGTGACCCTTTGTTTCTTGTGTCTTGTTCTTGTTGCGTTCAGATTTGGACCCGGCTGTGGTGGTCCCTAAAGACTCAGAAGTCATGCTCAAAGGAGAAGACCTGACTGCTTCGTGCAACGCTCTGTCCTCCCTCAAAACACAAACTGTTTGGTACAAGGTAATTAACACACTGGATATTATTACACATCAGACTAAATTGATTTTAAATTGTGTAAGCAAAAGTAAAGAGTATATGTAACAGGAATTTTTTAAATGATGATTATTATTACGAATGGAGAACCGTAAAAGAACTTCTTGTTTCTGTGAAGCTGTTTTGTGAGCAAACCACCAGTAAGTCTGGTTACAGTTAACACTGCAAACACACTGGCATGAAAAACGGTGAAGGAATTTGAAGTATGAGAGGGGATGTATAGAAGAGCAGCAGCATAAACACAAGTTACAGACTTTAACTGAAACAAGAGCACGAGTCTACAGACGTAGACACATCTTGTCAGAGCCAAAGTAAGGGTTTCTTTGAAGGCATGTTAGTGTACATTTTTGTAAATACTGTTGATGTGGTTCTGCTACTGGGGGTATTAAAGAGCTCATATTCTGCCCTTTTTGGGGTTCATATATTTAATCTATGTACCTACTAAAGTATGTTCACAATAACTAAAGTTTGAAAAAAAGTGTCTGTTTTCATGAACTGCCGCTCCGGCTCGCTTCTGACTCTCTCTCTAAGGCTCTGAAGTGCCCACGTTCAGAGTCCCCACGTGTGCCAAGTCTGATCTGATTGGTCGGCCTGTCGGCTCTGCTGTAATTGGTCAGTCGCTCAGCACGGTTCTCGGAAATGTCACGCCCCAAGTTGAGCTGCTGGGCTTGCCACAACGAGCCAATGGGCTTAGATCAGTGATCTCACACTGACAAGTCGTCACACTGGCAAATTGTTTTTGAGGGGGGCTAGAACCGAGCGTTACATGCAGCTAATGCTACAGCTAACAGGAGGATGTAGGAGAAGCTGCGTTTCCGTGGACTTTGAATTTTTGCACATAGATGTGACTAAACATGCACAGGACACTTGGAAAACACACTAAAGAGCAGATAAAACCAGAAAAAGCAGAATATGGGACCTTTAATGTGAGAAGATCACTTTCAAGGTCAGGTGTGTGATCAAGGATGGGCATATGGTTTTTGACTGCTACAGCGCGATGGCTGGTTTGTCTCTGCCAGTTGGGAAATGGTTTGATTTCCTGCACTGAAGAATTATAGACGAGCTGTTTTTAAAATTGCGATCTGGTCTGGCTGCCAATCATTTGTTGATTTTCTGTACAAATGTGAGGACTCTCAAGGAAAAACAAGCAAATCAAATGTATTGAGGTAAACATGAAATGAGAATGAGGTACCTAAAAGATGTAATATTTAGCACGAGATCAGGCTAACATCTGCCAACAGCTGAGGTTGATTGGATCGTCATTAGTTTTGCAGAAACTTGAAGATTAATAAAACTGTGAGCAATGCGTTTCGTTAGTTTGCTCACAATAAAATATAATAAAAATACAGTAAAATAAAACTGTATTATTCAAACTTTTTGCCTCTGGGTCCATGAATGCTTGTACGACACTTGAAGGGAATTCAGTTTTCAAATATTTCAATCTGGACTAAAGACTGCCATCTTTAAAGCCACACCACTAACAGATAAGGGTCCACTGATCATACTGGTTTGCCAACATGACCTGTTTCAATTCACTGATTGTACATGTGTACTATTTTAAATCTGTGTGTTTGTGTTTGTATAGAATGGGCAACAGGTTGGCAAGGGGAACACGTTGCACCTGAGGGACGCCACCTATGAAACATCTGGAGAGTATATCTGCGAGGTGACGGTTCCCTCCCTGCCTGCCCTGCACACCAGTGGCTCCGTTCACATCATCGTCCAAGGTCAGTCATGATTTCTACGACTTTATCTCACCGCTGATGCCAAGAGTAGCTTCCAAACTAAATACTTATCTAGAGTCGATTACATTAAACACATAGCTGAGGCCTCAATTCTATTGTGTAATTAAGTTAGTTTCCATCCAGATTTTTTGAGTTTGAGTGGTTTGTTGGGAATCTGAAAATAAATAAAGACAAGTATCTGTCTTTCTGTTACTTTTATACACATTTGCTAATGGACTCAAAGCATAAATAGATCAAGTTTCTCTAGCCAAGAGAAGCAAAACCTTGTGCCTCTTCTCTAAACAAAAAAGATTGCTCGGGGGGAGCCGGCATACAATTTCAAGAACAGATAACATGCCCGTTACCAGAATCTGTTATTTGCAACCAGCTCCCCCTGACTGCAGCTTAGTGTCAATCTGAGGCCATGACATTCATTCATGTTATTGAAGACGGTATGTAAAGGAGCTGAGTCTGCCATGAGCTCAGTTCTGGTTATCTGGAGACGGTATGTAAATTTACAGAGCCAGCCATGAACTTTTCAACTCTGCTATGTTCGACACACGCAAATATCAAGAAGTGTGAATTCATTTTTTTCTGTTGCAGAAGAAACCGCAATTCAGGAGAAAGAGAAATGCAGAGATTTTAGGGACAAATGCATTTATTGCCGGGCTATTGTAGTTGGCATATTGAAAAAAGGCACATTAGCATATGGCACCTACTCCCTGGATTATGCAGATGTTTGAGATGCCAGATCTAGGGGTGCTGGTTAGCTCAGAAGTAGAGCAGGTACCCCGAGTTCTGAGAGTATCAGCCCTGGGTTAGACTCTGACCTTCAGCCTTTTGGTGCATGTTGTCCCTTCTCTTTTCCCAAGTTTCCTGTCCCTCCCAAAAAGAAATAATGCAGAAAATGTGAAAATAAACTCAAAAGTCTTGTCTATGTCTGTCTTAAATATGCAGCTATATGCACATGTTTTCATATTCAGTCCTCTTCTGGGTTATGAATGGAGTCTTTAGTTGCCATCCAAGTCCTCAAATCTGATTAGCCTGAGAGCGCTGATTTGAAACACCTGCTTCTGTTAGAACGAAGACTGCTGAATTGCTGATGGTTAGAATTTAAAGAAAAAAATGCATCAGCGTTAAAAATGTGCTGTTTCTTCCCTTAAACAAACAAAAAACAATGTGGAGGGCTTTAACCTAAGACACCTGTGCTGTAAGTGTCGAGTTCATCACTAAACAAGAAATAAAACAGGATTTCTTTTGTGAATGTTTCTATTCAAAAGAAAAAAACTCTCTGCAGGTGAGGGTTGATTGACTATTTGAGTAGTGTACTTATTGAGTTAATGAAGACAGAAGATAAACATGGAGGAAGTTCAAGCTGTAGTTACAGTGGGCAAATTAAGATTGTGGAAAATCCTAAGAGAAATATGTACACTTGTTTACTGTACACTCTCTGAATACTGTGTGTTTGCATGTGTCTGTCTGTTTGTCCAGGCGGTCCTCAGATGGTGGGATTGGAGCAGGAGGTGCAGCTGGAGGAGGCAGCCGGCCGGATGGTGAACCTGAGCTGTGAGGCTCAGGGTCATCCCCTGCCGAGCATCTCCTGGAACATCATCGGCAGCCAGGTATCCAGCCTCACCCGCAGCACTAACTTATCTCAGGATAAGTGGGGATTTAATGCAGTTCAAACAAGATTTCAGTTTCACAGTGATGCAGAAACAAAAAAAACATATTCACTCCAGTTTTTGATTTCTTTAATTGATGGCTAACTGATTCATATTATCTTCTGGACACATTTGTTGAATAATTTACTGTAAATTCCTGCATAAACACTGATGTTCAGAGTTATTTTGCAGTTTGGAAAAGAAGACGAGACGTCAGTAAAGACGGCTTACTTACTTAAAAACCCACTTCATCTGATATTACCGTTTATGTGCTTCTGAAATGTGCATGTTTCCGTCATTTACGAGCTGTGTTTGTGTGACTCTCCACAGAACTGGCAGGAGGTGGTGATCAAGGCAAACGAGCACATGACTCACAGCGTGGTGTCGGTCAAAGTCACCTCGGACGTTAGTGCTCTGTGCAACGCTTCAAATGACATGGGCACGGAGGTCAAAGCTTTCAGCATCAAAGCCAGTAAGTCTCTCTCTCACACTTGCACTGTAACATCCTGCATCCTGTATGTTCATGGGACAGAGAGGGTTTTAAGTAGTTCTTTAACATTTGCATTAAAGGCTGCATATTTAAAAATGTTCTCTGATATCCTGAAGGGCAATCTAAGGTGTTTTTGGGGGCTTTATTGTAGAGATAGGATAGTGGATAGAGTCTGAAATCAGGGAGAGAGAGAGTGAGAGTGGGGAATGACATGCGGGATAGGAGCCACAGGTCAGATTTGAACCCAGGCCACCCGCTTAGAGGACTCCGTACATGGGGAGTGCACACTAACCACTAGTCCACCGGCCCCCCTTCAGGTGTAAGTTTTTAAGTGAATTTAATCCCTATGTTTCAAGGCTATGGCAAAATGTACAGGAATACCAAAAGAATATTTGGCTTCTGGTTCATTCAGGGAGCTGTGGTGAGTTTAAAGTAAGTCGGGTGTTCTGGTCTCGCCTTTGAAGCCTTAATTAATGACGATCATAAGCACGAGCTGCTCTGCCTGCTTTTCATGTCAGGAGGATTGATCAGGGAACATTTTGTAATGTCAGACTGTGCAAGCAAAAGATGAAAAATGTAAATACTTTTAAAGGAAAGGGGGTGTGTGATGGCTTTTGAATGTGAAAGTGTTTTACTTTAGTGAGTTTCCACGTAGAGAAAGCATGCACAAGTTTCCTTCATAATAATCTTTATGAAATCATGGGCAACAGTCACTGACGCATGCTGAGGTTTTGGGTTCTACCTTCTTCAGCGTGTGTCAGTGTTTATCAGGTTTGTGACATCACAGTGGTAATATTGACTCACCTCCGTCATCCTTAGTCATGCTGTCACCACACCAGGATTTTAAACTCTTTGACGTGATAACAGTAAAACTCAAACACTGTTTATACTACTGTTTCAATACCAGAGCAACAAAGCAGAAGTCCAGGGCTGCCAATAGAAGAGGATTTTTTTGTTTGTATTTCCCAAAAATTGCAGGCAAACTCCTCCACACGGTCAATACTGCAGAAATATGTTGTCTTCAATTACCCAAATGTTGTTTGAATAATTCAGACTGCGCTGTCTCTCTTTCGCTTGGAGCAGCTTTTGGTTATAATATGACTGAAGAGCTGAAGTTTGATTAAAGCTTCTCTACTTTTCAATAATGTTCATGATAAAATAACAGAAATTGCACAGTTTTAAAATATGTGGCAATCAAAGGTACTGCATTTTTTTAAAATTTGACAACCTTAATCCCTAGCTCTATTTTAGCAAGTTTTGTAATGTGTTTTTTGTGGATATCCTATTAGTGTTTTTTGTAGAGACTTAAAGCAACACATTAATAAATGCATGTTTTACTGGATGAAGCCGTGTTCTCCTGCTTCTGGAGCTGTGCAGATTAATGCTAAGTCAGCAAAAAACTGTAAAAAGTATCCTCGTGAATAGTATCCTTTGAAATCACAGTTTTGCAATACAAGCCATGATGGAGAGTAGAAATCTGAGCTTTAATAGTTTGAAGTACTTTTGGGCAACCGTCAACGTCAAACGACCGAGCTGAAGAGTAAGATGCATCAACCTTTCTGTTTTGTGAAACCGATTTTTTTTAAAAGTTTTTTTCCGAAGTTTTTCTGCAGAAGACTTTTAGAGGCTTGAAATTGTGAAACTATTCAGTTGAAAGTAATCATAAATGAAAGAAGAGTCTCTTCTTTTAAACAAAAGTTTTCTTTTTTATTCCATGAATCATATCTTTATCTCTCTGGAGTCCTGACCCTTTGGTTTGAACGTCTGCTTTAGAGGATACAAGAAGCCTGTATTGTTCCATATTCTGTCTGAAGAGGGCTTCATACTCTTTAAATCCTGTTATTCAGCTCTGCTTTACTCACACCTTAAGAATGATAAGTGAACATTTGTAATTGCTAAGGCAGCTATAATCAGATTAAATGAGAGAAGTGTGTGTGTGTGTGTATTCGGGGCGGACTCTAAGTGTTGTTCTACTTGTCCACAGTTCCCAGACTCACCTCCACTGCTCCCTTCTCTCCCGGTAAGATCGTCGCTCTGCCGCCTCCTGTTTTCAAAGTCGCCTCTTTTTACTTTTCGCTTCCACTCACAGCCGCTCTTCTGTCTCGCTGTTCATGCTTTACACTAAGTTCTGCCTGTGACAATGAAGGGTTGGAGGACTGTATACATTATTTATGATTTCTATACAGGGACTTCACACCAGGACTGTCTTTGGTCTGCTGGCGGATCTGTGGGATGGCCTGTGGGCACATTAAATATTCTGTTTGAAAAATCACAACACCAGTAAATTCAAGCACGCTAACAGTTCTAATGATTCTTGTGTGAAATAAAAACATTGTTTGTATATTTCAGATTCTTTAAACAAACGTACATAAAGAAGAGAACAGTCTTAGTTTTACAGTCTTTTTCCAGACCGTCTCGTGTTTTATTGTGGATTTTTCCCCACCAGTGAGGTATGGAGAGGGGGCTTGATTATGGGGCAATTTTCTGACTCCATCGGAGCAGTCACTTCATACCGTTAAAATCTTCACATGCCCACAGGGAGCACAACGGGCAAATAATGAGTCTTTCAGACAATTAAAAAAACGACAGTAATTAAAAAGGAAAGTTTTCTAAAAATATCTAGAGTGGAGTGCTTGCAAATCGCTCGTACTCCTAATTGTTTACCGAGATGATTATGAGCCATATTTAAACACTCGTGCAGCCTTTTGGAGTAGAAGCTTCCTAAACTTGTTTACTACAAGGGGATGGAGATCTAGTTAAAGAATGAATAGCAACCCTGTGTTGTGACACTCAGACCTATAAAATGAATGGCGCCGTTTCACATACAATGCACATTCTGTACAGTCGAAAGCCTTTATTGGATAAATCACTGCAGGAAAAGCAAATAAAACCCAGAAATTTAATTATTAAAGGTCACATATAATGCAACATAGACTTGCATACACTTACATGTTGTTCTAAATTTAATATATGTCTCTAGTCGGTCTACAAACCCCCAAACTATGAGAAAAGTCCATCCTCTTTGTCTTTAGCCTGCTCCACTTTTCAGAAAATGTGTGCTCAAACAGGCCGTTTGGAGATTTTCCCTTCATGACATCACAAAGGGCAGTAGCCCCTCCCCCAGGTGGGTGACACTCCCACAGCTAGGTGTTTGTTCTGCCTTCCCACTGTAAACAATAGGACACGGAGCGAGAAAGCCAAAGCCTTCCAATCCTTCAAAAGGGGCGTGGGCAGACACAGCTCATTTACATATTTTAGTTTAGTTTATTTGCACATTTTTTGAAAGAAGAATCAAACAGAAAATAAAAAATAAATAAAAAATAAAACACATTTGCAGGTGAGGTAGAAACCCATGAGGGCTTATATCAAAACCTCACCTTAAGAGATTAAACAAAGTTAAAATAAAATACAGTAAAAAATAACAAAGTAAGAATATTTACTATCGCAAATACAATTTACCCAATTGAAAATTACAAACATTGAAAACATAAAAATAGAGCAAAGCAGGACATACAGTATGTAGACAATATAACAAAATTTAAAGGTACAGACACAGAAACAGCCTGTTCTGAGCAGCGCTGAAATAGAGGGGTTTATAGACATGATCAAATACAGGATCAGAGTGGATTTAGAAACTTCACACACATGTTTTGTGGAGCTCTGAGACTTATTTAAACTGGTGAAGAGGAGGAGAATATGTGACCTTTAAGAATACAATAGAGGGACCCCAAACAGGTAATGTTAATACACAGATGAATTTAAAGAGAAGTGTCAACTACGGGAGCATCATCAACTGTGTTTCCTTTTTCCTTTTCTTTTTGAAGACCAGAGAAGGAAAAACTGGGTAATGTTATCTAGAGAAGTCAAGTTATTAAAGCTATAGGTCACAGATGCTGCACAAAATAAATGACATTGTTCTGCGGCCTTGGAAGTGTAATTACACTGAATTAAAATAGATGTAATTTCACGCTTTGCTTATCATTCTTATGCATATTAAAATTGAAGCTGCTTGATAACAATAATGCAATTTGTTGTTTAGAAAAAGACGTTTCCTTATTCTTATTTTCAAACGGCTCCTTTAGTCATTTAGTAATTCATGTCTTCAAAGTTTGGGACGGATTCAAGAAGACAGTGTTTGAAATCAAAGAATGAGAGGGGGAGATCGTCTGACTTTTAGTTCCCAGTAAAGCTTCAAATAAGAGGAGAGAGACCTTAATCCTGAAGGGTCTTCTGGTGCCAGGTTTCTCCAACATTTCATCAAAAAATCAAGTATAAAGTAGTTCAGGATTAAATTCAGAGAAACCGTGCCTTTAAGAGGATAAATAAAAGTATGTGTTACATGACAAAGGCAGCAAAGTACACTACTTAGTTTGTGTTGGCGGTGATATTTCGAGGTAGTATTTCAAACAGACACGGACCCCTGCTCCGTTTATGTGACCTCCATGTAATGACATCAGTAATACTACATACTCTACCACATGGACCTTACTATTAATCCTATTCCCATAATGTAAAGACGGAAACTTTTCTGTTTGACCTTTCCTGCATGTTGCAACACCTAAACTTCCCTCGTCCTTCAAACCTCACCTCACTGCTGTCATTATTGGCTGCCTTCAGTATTAAACACCACTGTCCTCATTTAACAGATGAGGAGCACAACTAGACACTCACCTGTGATTTCTCTCTCTCTGTAGCTGAAGGCAGTGGGGTGATCATCGTGGTGATCATTCTGTGTCTGCTGCTGCTCGCCATCCTCGGCAGCGTCCTCTACTTCCTGCACAAGAAGGGGAAGATCCCCTGTGGACGCTCAGGGAAACAGGAGATGTGAGTACTGCTTATGCTGACTCTGAAAATCTACCCGAGGGGGGGTTGGGGGGGGGGGGGGGGTTGGGGGGTGTCCTTCCATTAGATTCTCTTGATATCCATTCTCACAATATCAAGGGAACACCTGGAAGGAATTTCTTCAAAAGGAGTACGAACATCACGTTGGAGTCGGGGTCGATCTGATTAGATTTTTGTAGTCAAAAGGTCAAAGGGCAAGGTCACTTTACAAAGTTTTGTGAGCTAACAAAAGATGTTTTTAGTGTCACAATCCAGACTCAGTGAGCTGGACAAAGAGGGCGACCACACGGTTTTATAGTCATTTAAAAAGTTTATGGAAAATTAAGGCAAAAACATGTCTGTAAATCTGTGGGGTCTGTAATGAGGAATGTGTGTGATGGGTTGTGGAGGCAGAACAAAGACAAACCAGAAGTTGGTGATGGCCAGAGAGCGAGAGAGCTGCTCAGGTGCATGAAATCAAATTAACTAATTCATCTTTTTTTTAATTTATTTTTTTAAATGAAGTGGCAAAGAAAGCGAGGGATGTTGGAAAGTTTGAGAGACGGTCTTATACGTTGCAGGTTTTTGGTCTTTTCATGGGATTTGTTTGCCATTACAAATTGATTCTCCCCTCCGTTTCCCCTTTAATAAAGATGGGAATGTGACTGCTGGCTTTTTTTCTTCTGAAGACCCCACGCTGTAGTGAGGAGGTTACATTTCAAACTATTCACGGCGCTCCTCGTTTGTTGATGCAGAAATGTTTAAAACAAAAGCTTAAATGCGAGACTAGTAACAAAAAGGGAGTAATGTTTAACTTTTTGCTTATTTCAAAAGATGAATGTAGTTGGCTTAAACATTTACCTGTTTCTTCTTGTGTTCAAATCCCACTCCCTTTTATTTTGTCTGCAGCTCCAAGAGAAGACCACCAAAGATGACATTGTTGTGGAGATGAAGAGCAACACAAAGACGGAGGATACTGTCCTGCTAAAGGCTGTCAACGGGGACAAAAAGGGCCCCAACGAGCAGGTAACCATCGGCCTGAATGAATATAATGCTTTTGTTACCGACATAAAGGAAGCGCCTTTAAAAAAAAAAACCTCACTGCTGCCCCCTAGAGGCTGCAGATGACTGCACACACCACAGTTTGTTCTCCTCATGTTGACCACTTATGGGGGATTCACATGAAATAAGACAGACAGTGAAAATGTTTCATTAATGTCTGTAAGAAGATGCAGAGTTTTCTCTCTTTCATGCTCAACATCACCACAGAAGCTGTTTTAATGCGGATGTGTTGGATTCGGGTTAGCCGTGGCTTTTTCATCAAATATTTAATAGCCGTAAATAAACCCTCACTAGCTGCCTGCATGCTGAAAAAACACTTTCTGATGAAATGAGGATCAGACAGGAGCTGAGATAAGTGTTTGTGATTTAAAGGGATACACCCATGTTTTTTCAATAGTCGCTCCACAGCTTTATGGTTTTTGTCTTGGCTTCAAATGTGGCTTAAATAGAAGAAATTA